ATATTATTATTTTAATAAATTAGAATTAAACGAATTATGCCTCTAGCGACACATTAATAATTTAAACAGACGAATTCTTGGTAACTTAACCCTTTAACGGGCCCTTTATTTCTAGTAAAGGTAAATCAAAGTATTTTTGAAATTGGAAATTGTTTTAAGAACAGTAATTGATATAAAAAAACTCATTTAGTTTATAAAAATGCCATTTCCTTGGTGGTAAATATATTTAACATGACCTATTAGGAACTTACTGACTTTTATTTTTCTTTATTTATAAAATAAATTTCTTAAATGCTACAAACTTCAAAAAGAATTATGTATTTTATAACTTTTATACGTTTTTTAAAAGTAACAAATGGTTGCCAATTTTATTCAAACTCACTTCAAGAAAGCTGAAGTTATTGAAAAATGGAAACCTAAATTAAAAGTGGTAAAACGTGGTGGTAAGTATACTTACCATGGCCTTCAAAAGGGTAAAATACAGACCTGCCACTTTCTTCGACTTCTAGCAACGCCTCCACACTGTTTTTTATAGGTAGTCCGATCAGACCACTATGTAGGTAAATCAGTTTACGAAAGAGCCCTAGTCTTTAAAGTTCTTGCATGTTTTCTATAATGACATTTATAACTAAGAACACTAAAAATTTAATTTACATATCTCGAAAACCGGCTTTAACCCCTTGGGGACGGGTGATTCAGAAAAGCATTCGTACAAAATCAGAATCAAGTTATAATTAAATAAAAATTTTATCCACCACTATTTCTAAACAATTTATATAACTCACCACTTTTTTCAGTTATGTCATTCTGAACCTTTTAAAAAACTAACAAAATCTGTCTTATATTTGCAAATTTAGTTTGTAGTTATTGACCGTTTGGCCGGACGGGCAAGCCAAGCCATTAGCGTAGCATTCAACGTGTTAAGGCATTGTTAATTCAGTAAAAAGTTCAGATTGCCTTTTAAAATAAGAGTTTATTATTAAATAAACATAATTTGCAAATATAAGTTGGTGAGCTAGTGCTTTTAAGAAGATGGAGGTTACTTACCTGCCAACTTTTAATCCCTTGCATTTTTATTTTTCACAGTGGTATTAAAATGGAATTAAAACTTCAATTTTAAGCAAACAAATACGTTGTATTTGAGAAAACTTAAGTTGACAACCAGGATAGTAACGCATATTAATATATGTGCTTAATTTTTGTAAGAATAGTGGTGATCAATATCATTTAAAAATTAAGATTATAAAAGAAAAAAATAGTATATAATTACTACCACTTTAAATATGAAAATAAAATCTTCCGGAAAATCCGGAAGAGTTGGCAGGTATGAGGTTAGATGAGTAGTGAAGAGAAACTTAATCCCTTGGGGACGGGTGATTCAGAAAAGCATTCGTACAAAATCAGAATCAAGTTGTAATTAAATAAAAAACGGTAACTTAAATGTAGTCGTTGCTATTTTGACAGACTTACTTTGCTTTTACTTTATTTATTGTTAGTTTAATCATATATATAATCAATGTTAATTCAAAGTATAACTAAATAGTTTTATTTTGAACAAAGTAATGGTGAATTAAATAAATCAAACAATTATAACTCCGCCCACAAATAAACTGCTAAAGAAATACTTTGATTACCAGTTTTATCTTTTTACCCTGGTTGATACGGTTTTATGCTGGCACGTATTTGTGACAGTCGGTGCGAAAGGGTTAAACAAAATGGTTTTACTCTAGTTCTTTTTTTCTTTCTTTTTCAAATTCCGTTTTAATTGCCATTTTTCCTGAGCTCTGCAAATATTAGGTCTATCGAAAAATTCTGACAGCGAAAGTACACGCTTCACTTAACAGTATTGCAAAAGGTTCTTTGATAAAAGAAAGTGGTAGAGTATTTACCTTTAACTCAATGGTACTGTTCTAGCTTAAAGAGACAGAGCATATACGGCGTAAAAGAACATGTGCATACGTAATCAAACTTGAAACAAAATTTTCGACAGTACTAGTGATACATCTGATAGATTCATTCAAGAATAAATGCACTACCACTATTTCTTACAAAGGCACCTTTTGCATTCTTGTATAATGGGGCGAGCTCTTTCGCGGACAGACTTTTCCCGTAGATCTTATAAATATGTAGAAATCGAAATCTGCCATTTAGTGGGTGAAAATTTCCTGAGCTTGAGTGGTTCCTAAATAAAGAATCTTTAAAGATTAGTTTAAGGGTCACTGATAGTTAGGTGTGGAAAAAGTTTAACACATTGCATGCGGACAACTTTTCCTTGACTTAATAGGTGAATTGCTGGAGTACCTACCCGCGGCAGCGGACACCCGACTCCTTCATCTAAGTTGTGCTGAATAAGAACCAAGAACAACTTTTCCAAAATATGCATTACAGTTATTATAGATTAAAATTATAAAAAAGTGGTAAGCAAGATTTCATAAAAGTTGGATCAAGCTTGTCACTATAGCATAGATGCCAACTTGCTCCGGACAGCAAATATATATTTTAAAGTGGTAGTTTATCAATTGTGATTCTTGGTTTAATAAATTCAACTTAATAGATTTTTATCCACCACTGTTTCTAAATAATTCGTAGGCTTACATAATTCACCACTTTATAGTACTTATGTCATGCTATACCTTTTAAAAAGCAAGCAAAAATAGTTACATATTTGCAAAATTTACTTAGTAGTTATTTACCGTTCTTTTAACTATTTTGGAGTGTCCGGAGCAGTTAGCATCTCAGCTATAGCTACAACTTCAATTGAGAAATAAAAATTACGACGAACGAATATATATATGTGTGCAAAAATAAATAAACTTAACACATAGCTGACCGGCAACTTTTCTGAAAATTTCCCCATGTGCCCAGCTATTGTTTCTGAAAGTGGATGTGGAAATAAAACAATATAAATAAATTTTAAAAAATTTTATTTATTATTCAACTCTTAATATTTCTTTTTCGTATGATAAAAAGTAAAACAATCACCTACGTGTAATGGTACACCACAAGTTTTGAAAATATATCACGTTTCGTAAAGTTATAATTAATTGGTACAGAATTAAGTAGTAAAACTTGAAAAGTAAGGAAAATTATGCCCTCTTTTAAAAATAGTCACCACAAGATCACTGCTAATATGATTGCTATGACTCGTGACCGGTCATCAACGCTTGGCCACGAAAACACGAGTTAACTCGTGATCGGTCAGCAATGTGTTGAGACTACATAAATTTCGTTAATGTTACGAAATACTCTTCAGCAGGAAAGTATGATATAGACAGACATGTCTGTGTCTTATGTGACTGTGATATCTTACAAAGAAAAGATCCATCGTCAAAAATTTGTAAATATGCGGGGGGAAATATCTCGCTAAATTGTATTGATTCTGACGTACATTTTATTTGATGTTTTAGCATTATAGAGCGGAATTAACTGTCATCACAGGCCACGAAGCAACAAAATATAACAAATGAAGAACAAAAAATTGTCCGCCGTCGACAGCCGATCACCACTTTCTTCGTCGAAAATGACCCCTCCCATGTGGATATCTTTATAATTAATTTTTATAAATATGGAATTATTATGAATATTTCATGAATATTCAGAAAATTATTATTTTATTTCACGCTTGTTTCTTAAAACTTTTCTTAACTTTAGAAATAAAACCTTGTAATATTTGTCATATGTTAAGAAAAGCTTAAAATAAATGTGTAACTTTATTAATATTAACAGGTTTTCCTTTAATAATATTTAAAATTTTAATTCATGAAAAAATTCTCACGTTTAAAAAAGTGACCACTTTAAAAAATGCTACATTTGGCGGCTTGCAAGTGGCAAAATTTCCCAACTTTGCCAGATTTTTAAAATTAAAATAATGAATGAAATCTAATACAATATTGTTTTCCCTTAAGAGGTAAAGAATCTAGCAAGAGGTTAGTCTTTTTAGTCAAATACGTATTCCACGACCCCGAGTTTCTCCAGTAATGTTTATTTCTCTTTTTCCTCTTTTTTTTGTCGACAAAATTTATGTCTGATTAACCCATTCCTTGTTGAGGAAGAAAATAATGTTTAGTAGAGATGAAAAACTGCTGTTGAGAACAAGTCTTGTCTCCTCGAAATAAATTAAAAAATAAAATGATTGAGACACCAGCTTTTATCTCTTTGAAAAAAATTCAGGAGAAAAAAACAAGTTTTGTCGATTAACTAATAGAGCATCATGAATAAGCAAAGTCCATTCTAAAATTCTAGTGCAGAAGCACCTTTACCGAAGAGGAAAAACTACTAGTTCATTTTTGTAAAAAGAGAGTGCAAAGCTGAATTGGTTAATGTGTTAAGCAGTCAATTATCAGCAAGTAATTTTCAGAGATACCAATCGCTCCGGTTTTCACAAGAGATTTTTAAAAGTGGTAGAAAACTATAAATTAAAATTTGCAGATTTTTGGTTAACTTTGTCAATTTTTTAAGTTTCACCCTGAAATAACCTATGTTTTATATAACACCTTAAATTAATGTTATCAAGACCTTATAAATTAATAATTAAAACTTTATAAATCTAATTTAGTAAACCAAGAATCATACATTAAAATACAACTTTTGCTATTACTGGGAAACATTTACTCGCAAGCCAGAGAACCTTGATAGCTAATCTTATGTAACTTAATTAGAACTTGCAAAAGTCAAATAATCTTATGAATAAACCTTTTGTTATCTTGGGTTATATATAGCAAATTAAAAAATAAATAAATAAAAATTAGAATGCTTTTGATATTGACAATACGAAAGGATTTGTATTTATGAGAAAAAAGCATCAAAAAATTAAACAAATAATATGCATTGTTATAAAAATTTTAAACATTTAAACCTGTTGCAATTTTCAGTAATGGTTTATCCCTCTAATTTTACTTTTAATAAACTCGATATTTAACATTTCATTATTTTGTAATGAATTTTCAAGATTATGTATGATTGAAATGGAAAAATAAAATTAATTAATAAAATATGAGTGGTTTTGAAGATTAATAAAATATCAACTTTATTGAAAATTTTATAATACAGCACTATTTGATCAAGCAGTAAAACTACTAAACCTAAACAATGTAATTCTTTACAAATTTATATAAGTCAATCTTCTTTTGGTGATTTATCGGGAACATTTGCTTATTTTTCTTTAGACTCAGTCTTCATCTATAAAAATGAAAGAATATTTAAAAGATTTTGCATTAGAACAGTTCTTTAATATGGCACTAATTTATTTAGTTTTACTTTATTCAATATTTTAGACAAGTTTCATGTGCAAGTGGAAAGTAATCACAAGAAACCTGTTCAAGGCTGTTTAATGAAACTGATATATTATATGATCTTAGTAAGTTTTTGAAACTTAAGTTGAACAGCAAAATCACAGTGAGTAGCCAAATCTCTCAACAAAAAATAAGCACCTTTAAAGAACTTTTTAAGCACTCAAAAAATATTTTTAAGCACTATATACATTAACAAAATGCTATTTTCAGACTTTACATGATCATGATAAAATAACTAGTTTCTGACAAAGAACTCTTTTCTTGATTATAATAGCCACCATAAAAAGATTTAGAGACTTTTCAGTTCAGTTTTAGAGGGTGGAAAATAAAATATGTGAAATGAATGATCTTGCAAAATGCAACAGAGTTGCACATGAGAGTGCAAGAATCTCACCGAATCTAGCTCAGTAGATACGCATGTGGACTCCCAAGTATTTCATCACATGCGTAACATGATTGGCGCATTATCATCTATTACGGACTGATGGTACGCCAAAATGGATTGTGGAACCATTGAATAGAGCAATGTGAAAACCACGTTTTTGCATGACACACAGCGAAAATTGACATGGTAAAGGAAAAAAATCTCATTTTTTAAAAGGGAAAATTAAGCCCTTTTTAAAAACACCATATGAAAAAAGCCCCTTTAGGGACTTTAAAAAAAGAAAATACCCTACTTTCCTATGCAGCTGGCTAGTAAAAGAGGCATTTCCTGGAACCTTTTTATTACAGTGTTAGGTAAAGAAGAAATACTGTGAAAAAGGGTAAACGAAGCAAATGTTAACGTGGAGGGGGAGTCACTTTCAATCACGAAAGAAAAAATAAAGAGAGAAGAATTTTCTCCTCCACCTACCCACCTTAATGAATGATGGGAATTTCCCCTTCTTGCTTGAGTCGTTCTAGTTCAAAATGGCGGAGAGGGCAATTAATAATTTCATAACTGCCAATTTTTTTTTTTCGTTTTCTATATTTTAAGCAATAATATTTTTTTTAAAATATTTTGTTTTTGATTGATTAGATATTCTAATACTAAAACATTATTGCCTGAAAAATAATGTTTATTTATTTTTTGCTTCTCAGATTCAGATCGTTTTAAGCTTTGTTTATCTTAGGGGTCTATTATATGGAATCTAATATCCGGACTTCCAGAAGTCCCATCAATTCCGGATACGCGACTTCCCACATATGCAAGAAATATTTCAGAATAAACATTAACGTTTTTCAAAAGATTTTGTAGCTACATGTTTCATTTAATTTTCCTTACAGATTTGTCACATAGCAACACCAATTTAAACTGTTTAGCTTTCAGATTAAATCTGTACTTAAGACTTTCTAATGTTACTCCCTCAAAGAAACATGTTATTACTTGTTTTTAACATTAAATAATTTACTTGAAAAACTTTCCCCTTAAGCAAGTTTGGCATTAAAGAAGATATAAATTTGTCCCTTACATTTTATCTTTATTGATTTAAAATTTTTAAAAACAGCAACACTGTATAATTAGATGTTGAAAACATTAGTATTCTATAAATAATTTTGGTAGACACTAACACTGTTTAGCTACCTGTTTTAGCACTTTTGCGCCGTAAGGACAGCATGTTATACTTTGTATCTAGTAGTTTCACAAAAATCGAAATTGAAACTGGTTAACTTATATATCTAATGCATTTATTCACAACTCAATAACAAGCGTCAAAACTAAAACGATTATGATCAGAGACATTATATTAAAGATCAACATGTTATCCTTCGTATGTAATAGTTACACAAAAATCGAAATTGAAGCTGGTTAACTTATATATCTAATGCATTCATTCACAACTCAGTAACAAGCGACAAAACTAAAATGATTATGATCTGAGACATTATATTAAATGGGGCAGTACAGGTACAAAAAAATTTACTAATTCTAAAGAAAAATATCATGAATTTAATAATTGAAAAGATAAATAAACAAAAGTTATATAATATTTTATAAAAAACAGATAATTTTACTAATTACATTTATAGTTATGTATAAAGGTAACCAATTAACCAACTGACATTATTGTAGCAGATGCTTAACTTGCAAAGATACTAGCATAATATGCAAAAGTACAATAAACTATAAATCAATTATTTTAAATTTCTCTTTTGTTAGATATTTTTTACATACCTAATCTTTAAATTATGCTGCACAAAATATAACATCCTAGCAGAAAATTGAAATTTGAACTAAGTATGTGTTTTTAATTTAAACTAAAATAAAAACATATAAATACACATCTTTGAAGCTAACATTTAAGCTAACACTTCAGCTAACATTTTAAACATAGTCAATAACTAAATAAATACTTACATTCCATGTAGTGGCCACTTTTTCTTTATTTTTATCAAACCATTCTTTTAACTGGTCCATAACACCCTCAAGTTTCAATGTACTTTTAATGGCCTCGACTTTTTCATTATAGTCATTGGACAATTTTTGAGTGTCATATCCTAGAAGCAAAATAAATAAATAAAATTTAAAAAAAATATATGAAAATATCAACAATTTTGACAATTTTATAAGGAAAAAAAAAGAAACCTTCATTGGAAATTATGCAAACATTTTTACCTCCATATTTTTCTAGAGCATCAAATGTATAAGTTTTAGTATGCTCCCATCCAGTAGAAGCGTAATCCATAGCAAGAGAAGGATAGAAAGCAGAAAAAACAAGACCAGTTCCAGTAGAAGTGTATATTATTTTTTTAAATATACCACCTGGAATAAAATATACAGGGTTTACAAATAAATTTTTTATGGAACTATTTTGTTTTTAAATATATTTCTAAAATATAAAATTAAGAAATATGTTAAAAATATCAAATAAATTGTTCATTTTTACCCTTTCAGGGAACGTAGCCAGATTTTTCAACAAAAAATAAGCACCTTTTATGTACTTTTTAATCACTCAAAAAATATTTTTAATCACATTCCAAAAAAAAAAAAAAATAATTAGGATCTGTGTAATAAGATAAATTATTTTTTTCTATTGTTTAAAATTCTTAATTTATAAATTCAAAATCAATAAAATTTTAAAAAAATTTCAAAAACTTTACATAATCATGATAAAGTAACTAGTTTCTGATAAATAGTGCAGAGAAAATTGTGAAAATAATACATTTTTTGTAATTTAGAACAATAATCGATACAAGAAAGAAAAAATTAAACACTTTTTACAAACCCTGAATTAAAAAAAAGCACCTTTAAAAGCTTTTAAAAAACATAAATAAAAAATAAGCACCTTTAAGCACTTTTTGAAAACACTACGCTCCCTGCCTTTGAAGTCGTAATAGATAACATATAAAAATAACACAAATACAAAATAACATTTCTCCACAGAACTCATGTAAGAATTAAAATGATAATAATGTTCACTTATCAATATTTGAATGCCCTTTCGAATTAACAATGATCATTAGTGGAAGGACCAGTCATACTTTCTCATTGAAGCTGGTCCCCCTTCCCATTGCCACTAAGGAAGTTCCAGCGGAGATAAGGAATCTTCTCAATTTCGCCATGAACATCCCTGATTGTGTCAGTCATTGGAAGAGTATTCGGCAGGAAGTTTTATTCTGGAGAGAAGACAACACCACAGAGGCTAACCCTCGCCAAGACACAATCAAGAGTGCTCTCTAGCTAACATCTATTTAGCTAACTTCTGTCTAACCCACACCTTGAAGCAGCGCACCTGTGAACACTTTCCAATGGCTGACATGGGCCAAGGGGACAGAGAGTTGAAGATCAGCCTCGAAGTGTTCAACAATTTTTCTTTCTATAAAAGTGTAATCACTACACATTTTCTTTTTTGAGGAGTCAAAATCATAACTGAGTTGAAAAGAATGGCAGAGGAAAATTCTGATCACTCAGATTTCAATGAAGAATTTTACCTAGACTTGAGCAGGTTCAGAAGAAGTGGACTATGAAAACAAATGATCCAAATTTAAAATAGATTATAATTAAAATTGATATTATGTGCAAAACAAGTGAGAGCTTAGGGGAGAGATGATTTTTAAATAATGGATATAGCAGCCGAGAAGGCACATTATTATTTAAAAATAATGAAGCAACAGTTTAGTTTAAAATTACTGTACTTTAAATAAAAATGATATAATGAGTTTTCCAATCAGCACAACTTATTTTTTAGTCCTCTTTGATGGAACAAAGCAAAAAACACAGTTCAAGTGCCAAAGAGCTGTTACAGCCAACTGCAGCCCCATGAATAACAGATTCAATTCTTGACCTTCTAGCGGTTCCCTGTGTCATTTGTAATTGAGAATCACTAGTCTGAGTTCCATGTAGTTCAGAACTGGTAAGTCGAACTTGTAATCTTCTGTGCTGAATCAAAACTGTTACCTGAACCAAACTGAATTTAAGTAACAATTAGGAGAAACTTGTTATTTTACTTTTCTTCTCTTATTTATTGTTAACCTTCATCTATAATTCTAATGATATCACAAATTTTACATGATGTAAATAATATAAATGAATTTATTTACATTTATTAAAAGTTAAGTTTTCAATTTTTTATCTTTGGTACAAGATTTATTTCAAAATGCTAAATTAGAATATTCAACATTCTGCCAAAGATTTGTAATAACCCAGTGTTGTTTTTGGATTAATTAATAGCCTCTAAACCAGTGCACAGATAGAATTCTTCACATAAGCTAATCAACAAGAATAAATTGCAAATTTGCAGAGAGCTTAAGTAAGCTGATTTTGGAAAGGGAGGATTTTCACTTTAAAGAAATATGCTGTTGAGGGGAGGTAGCAGTTCAGAAACAAAACCAGAGTGATAAATTGATCGATTTGTAGCAAAACCACCACTTTTCAGAAAAAACAATCCATAACTATGGGTTGCACAAATTGAAGCCCAATTTGAAATTACCAACATTAAGAAAGATAACACAAAATATCATGTCATTGTTGCTTTTGACACTCACATTTTGGATACTATTCAAGATCTGAATAGAACCACAAAATCATTTATATTGTTTCAAAAGGTGGGTTCACTGAAACCTAGGCTGAGAGCAACACTTTAAAATTATAAACTTTATTATAAGATGCTGAACTTGTTGACCAGAGATCATTTTATAATTAAAACGAATGCAAGATTTAGCTGTGAAGCATTTGATTGATGATTTGCTGATATCAGAGTGGTTGGATCGAAAGCCTTCTAATGCCAAGCTAGTGTTAGTTGCTTCTAACAAGCAGTTATGCAAATTGATAACTATAGCTGACTGAATTTTCAAATTTGCAGAGCAAACTTCAGTCATTTCCATTATCACGCATAATGCTGCATTAAAATTTTCTGAGTTTCAAAGTTGACTGAACAAGTTGCTAATGTAACTACAAATGTTCAAAATAACCTCACTATTTGTAGGGCTACAAGTTCATCTTTTAGTCATGGGTTTCGACGTAATGGAAGCTCTCTTACCACTATTAAGATTTGTCAGAACACGCAACATTCTGACAAACATTTATTACCAGAGTATAACATTTACATAGTTTCTTATGCATGAGAATGAAGATTAGGTTGAAAACAAAATGAGAATGTTGAAAACAAAAGCAATAATAGAATGAACCTAGCAAAAAGTATGGTTATTGAGTTGTATATTATGTAATTAAAATGCAATCAGAACATTAATTAAAATAAAAAACTCGATATTTGCTAAAACTGAAAATGCTAACTACATCAGAACTTTCTCCATTTTCAAATACAAATTAAGTATTAGAAGAGAAGTAATTTATTTTAAACAAGAAAAGGTTTGATATTTATTTTCTTCTAAAAAATATTGCCTCTTCAATATTTGTCAGATAAACCTCACATTACTTTACATAATTTCATTTTGAAAACAAACAGAAAAAAATATTTAAAAAAAAAAATACTAACTTTAATAAGAAACCTGCTCAAAAAAATACTGACACAAATTGACACATTGTTATTAAAAAATATCTATAGTTTTAGCAACACAAATACATAGTTGAAATATTGCTTAGCAAAACACTTACGCTTCCTTGCTAAAAGCAATCCAAGAAGACCACCAGAGCAAATGGCTAAAATACGTGTTGTCTTATTTTCTTCACTAGTTAGATAATCATAACTACCTAAAATGCAAAAAGTATGTATAACAGCACTATTCATAACAATTTTATATATTACACATATTGTGCACTATAAAACATAAATTACAAAACTGTTAAAAGACACAAAGACACTGATAGTATTAATTTAATTAATATAATGATAAGATGAAAGAGGCAAGTGAAATAACTTTCATAAAAATATTTTTAGTTTTAACATATTTAGATTTGCATACTATTATTGCTTGGTATCAAAATTAAAAACTTGAAATACATTAAATGTTAATTTTCATGAACTAGATACAGTCAGACCTCTATATTTGAAAGATTGTAGAAAATCATTTGCTATCTGGTATTTCACTTTCAAAAAGTTTTTTTTTTTTCATTACATAAATTATTTATTTTATATAAAAAAAAAAAGCTCATTTGAAAAATTTATCTAATGTTATTTCTTTAAAGGTAGAGAGTGTTGTCTGCTTAATGACAATTAATAAATGTGCATTTTTAACTTTTAACATAACTTTTTTCCTGTTAATTTCATCATTTGCTTACTAAGCAGGATTGTCACGTTTTCTTTTCTTTTAATAAGTATTTCTCTATGTTTGCATAGATCAAAACAATTGTAAAAATTTTAAAAAAAGACATGATGTTATTATTTACATAATTTTGTCTTGTTTTCTCACAGCATTTTGCAAAAAAAAAATAAAAATAAAAAATAAACTTAGCAGAAGAGTGTACCATGAGTGAAAAAGGATAAGTAAAAAGGAATGTTTCTTTCACACAAAAAATATCAAAACATTCTCAAAACCAAGGCTCAAAATGACCTAAAATATTGGATCTGTTAAGTAGTCAGATCCATCTATCCAAACAAATATAAATCAAAGCTTAACCCCGTCCCACCCCGTCAGGGGGCAATCGGAGAATACTGTAGGCTCTAAGTGTGCGTACATGACCTCTCAGCAAAAGAAAAAGAGGATTCAAAAAGGAAGGCTTGATGGCGATCCATGGCAACACCAGAAGGCCTCAAAGAATTTAGTGAAATCTTAGAATTAACAATAGTAGTTACTCAGAAAATAGAATTTAGGAGTTTGAGTGTTCAAACATAATAAACGAAGCATCAATAAAAAAAAATTTAAAAAAACATTGAAAAAAGGTAAACATATTGTGATGATGAAAAGTACCAGAATTTGTCTAAAGCCCATGAAAACAGATACAATTTCAAAAAGAAGAGTTACAGCATACATATAAATATAACAAATATAAATCATAATTTTTCTAAAGTTGGTAAAAAATATTTCTTTTTAGATATTTCAAAATCTTACTGATAAAAATTATTTTTTGAGCAGTGAAGAAAAACTATTTTGAAAATAATGAAAGAATATACTGAAACTTTAGATAAAAAAAAAATAAATTAGAGATTTATTCATTTTTTAGTATGTAACTAAAGAACTTTAACCTGTACATTCAAGTTAAAATCATTGCCCAAATGAATGTATAAAGATAAAAAATATGCCTAATATCTCCCTTTCATTCTGACATTTTTTTTAAATACGGAATCAATGATCCATAGAACCGTCATTTCATAAAACAACTATCATTCCTGCCTTAACATTCATTTCATGTGATATCAATGATCAAATGAAATGTGCAAATACCCTTTCCTGTCTCTCTCTTCTTGGGAAAACAGTAAGATAATGGTAAAAATAAAAGATTATAATCTAAATACCTTATTCAACTAGTTTATAGTTTTATTGCTTAGCAATTCATTCTTAAAATTTTAATATCATGACTCAGAGAATAAAATTTTGCTTTTTCATCAAAAACCTAGAATTTTTTTAAAAAAATACAACTTTTAAATAATATTATTTCCCCCTAGAAAATAAATCTAAATGGGTAATCACCATAGAGGAAACTTTGGACATAATTATTACAAATAGTAATCAACTTTGTACTAATTATACTAAATAAAACTATTTTTCTTAGAATATTATTTTTGCTTCACATGAACTTTTCATTCACGTCATATTCTAAATTTTGATTGCTTAAAAATTAAAAAAAAAAGATCATAAAATATTAAATAAAAAATGCCTTTAAAATGTTTGATTTTAGGAGATGAGACACTTTGATAGGCAATTTTGTTGCAAAAAAAAATATAATAAAAGTGAGGAAAAAACTCACACACCATGTTTGATTTACAAGCATATTGAAAAAAGAGAAACCAAAAATCCACATAAATATTGTTAAAAGTCTAAATTAAGTAAAATAATTTAGGAAAATAGGCAAAAAATAAAAAAGAACCTTTAAAATTTATGATATGGGGGAAGGTTTAAAAAAATCATGAATATTGGGGAGGAGTGGGAAAGTTTTCCCCTCAGAGGGTAAAAATATTTTTGTTACATGTTACTAGATTCTACAAAGAATTTTTTTTATAATTTCAAACTTTTATAAATTTTTCTCTAGTTTTCTATGCTGAAGTAGTGAGAGAGACATTATTCCAATGCTCTAACCATTATTTCTATACTCATAATTCTTTGATTTATAACTTTATTGACACATTGTAGGTATAGAATTAGTAGAAATTTTCTTTACTTTTCAAATATACCATCAGAAATTTTCTATCTCAAATCATAAAAAATTATATGAAAAACACTAGATTTTTTAAGGTTTATTCTGAAAAAAATATATACACTCTGGAGAGAAAAAAAATTTGGTTGCAAAATATGAATTAGTGTTCAGCACCTGGAAAAATATAAATGCACGAAAAATTAAAATTCCAGCCAATTTTACCAGGTAAAATTGAACATCAACTAATTTTGAGACAATAGAGGGCATTACCTGGTAAAAACAAAATGGCATTTGATTCAGAAGTTCAATTTTTTTAAATTTAATCGATCCTGTTTCACATTCAAATAGTGTTTAGTTCCACAATAATCATAAAAAAGATAAAATTGCATTCTAAAATACCTAACAACATATACATAACAATATTACAAGACTCTAATAATTAATAAGTAAGGACTGTGAACAATGGTTTAATACTGTATGATCTCTTAACTAACATACCTATTTCTTGCATTTCTCAGATTAATTTGATATTAAGCCCCCTCCCCAAAATAATAATTCATGAACTAGCTTTAATTTTAAGCTACACTCTGGTTAAGTACTAAATTATATCCAATGTAGCAGAAAATAAAACACTACTCTCAATAGATACCACTTGATTCCGTCAGATGGCATTTTTGATTAAGAATCTTTATTTTCTGTATTCACAATTGGTAAATAGAGCTTACATAAAAACAATATAACAAGACTGGAATAAATTATAAAATAGATGCAATGAACAATGGGTGTAGACATCAGAATTTCTAAACAAATGTATTGATTACTTGTGCCCACCAGATTAAAAAAAACATATATTAATTTTAAAATTGAACTGAAATTGATTTTAAAATAAATTCTGAATAATGTACAGCATAACAGAACAAAAAAACAATTCAACAGATACCACATTTGAAGTTTTCATATGGGATTTTTGATTCAGGAGTGTTATTTTCTTAATTCAATCAATTAAATTTCAGAATAAAATTATATTTAGTTTCCCAATAATAAAATAAAAAGAAAATCATATTCTCTTCTAGAATTCTTAAGTAGGTATGTACTTAAAAATGTTTAAGATCGCTCAGCCTCTTCTTTACTAATCTATTTATTTTTTGCACTTGTCAGATTTAGTTGATATTCAATCCCACCCTTCACTCCCACAAAAAAAATCAAGCATTAGTCTTGAAATACTATAAAATGTATAACATTATAGAACAGAAAATACTACTTTTCTAAAAGATACCACAGATGATGCTTTTAGGGGGCATTTTTATTATGAAGCTTCCTTTTCTTCATTGAATCAGTTATTTGTCACTTATTCCGTCTCACAAAAATAGAAAAGTTAAAATCATAAGCTATAATACTTAAATATTTATTAATGAACAATATTTGGGAACTGAAATAGCTGTTAAATATTTACAATTGATGATGCACTCAGATTGCACCGTTTTTGCAAGCATCTCATATCTTGGAAGCTATCACCAACAGTCCAATTCCTCCCTCTTGTTTGCTATTTTTGGGAGAAGGATGTGAACAATTCTGAACAAAGTTGCTTATTTGGCGATCGCATGACAAAAATATTTATTTCGTAAATCTTTATGTGCATTTTTTTAACATTAAATATTTAATAAATTTTATATTTTTCTCTTTAGAGTGAATAGTTTGTCCTTTTTGAGGCCTTTTGCTGCAATATATTTAATTAGCTAGAGTAACGAAAGATATAGCAGCAGATGATAAAGAGAAGTAAGTGACTAAAAAAAATTCATTGTTTGCATTTGGCATGCATTAAGGGTTGTCTCAATTTCAAGCGCGAATATGTTTCTCCTCTTACTCCCGTGCTGAAATGAACTCTTTGTCTGAGGAGATGGAACCAAGTACCAACTCCTGGTGAGCGAACTATATTTAAAGTCAACTGTTGAATTTAGTTGATAATTTCTCTTGAATGGTTTAGGTTTAATATAAAAATCTTTAGATAGTTTAAAAAAAGAGATGTATCTGTTAGATTCACCTTGAGGTTTATATATTATATAGGAATATAATTAATTTCTTTTAATTTACTTAACATTAGGATAGGTGTTTTATTGCTATTTTTCTTGTTATTTTGAAAATTATTATTAAGCATAAAAATCAGACTTGTAACTGATTACTAATTGCTATTCTCTAAGGGTTTAAAAAATTATAAAAGCCGGAGATCGAGCAGGAAATTGGATCCTTAGAGCCAAGGCTGAAATATTTTCTTTTTAATCGATTTCTCCACTTTTCACTAGCTTTTAGAGTGACAAATTTTTTCCAAATGAAGATAAGAGATAAATGCCAAAATAAGTATTTTGGCAGTGATATGCATTAAAAAAATACAAAGCAATAAAATAAATAGTCATAAAATAGTAAATAGTAATAAAATAGTAATAGTAATAAAATAGTAATAAATAGTAATGAAATAGTAAAATAAATAGTAATAAAATAAATAGTATAAAATATAAGTAATAAAATAAAGTTATTTACAACATTTCTGTAGCTATCTTACTTTGAGAATGTGCAATACCAGTTTCATAGACATGAACAACTTGATCTTTAAATACCTGAAAAATATATGAAAATATATAATTTCTCCTTTTTGGTTGGTTGAATAATTTTCTACAATTTAACCCTTCATCTACCACTAAACTTTTAAGTCCCCCTAATATAACTTTCCTATTATCATTACTAATTGGCAGCATATGATTAATGATTAGAATATGATAGGATTATGATTAAGTTGAGCATCACCCAGGGCTCGAAAAATCCCCCGTCCTCGGCGGTCAAAAAGTCCTCGCGGACAACGAATTTCTCGAATCCGATGCCCGCTTGGACGGCCATTTTCCCGTTAATGTTCGTGATACATTTTCAATTTTTGTTATCTTATAAGAGTCTAGCGCCTCACTTCTAAAATGACCCTCTAATCTATGAATACAGCAACATACTGCACATGGTGGAATGGATGTTTTCTCTGTCTGAGAGTACTGCAGCGGTTGAAAGGAAATTTTCAGCAATGAACTTAAAAAGTACATTACGTACTGATCTTAAACAAGAAGCGTTAAACGAAATTATGAACATCTACCTAAATGGAAAACCCCTTTCAGATTTCTGTGCAGAAACCTCTGTAAATCATTGGCTTGATTGTGGAACTGGCAAACGTCATATTTGATTCATATAAAATACGCAGTACCTTCGGATAAATTGACATTCCAGATAACTTGACCTTTGTCATTTAAATTATTTCATAAAAGAAATACTAGGTTACTATTAGTAACCTAGTATTTCTTTTATTACTGTGTAATGTAATCCTAGTGACTACTAATTCATTGTGCAATTTGTATAAATGTTTGTAATAAATAAGAGAAAATTATATATTTATTTATTTAGAAGCTACGGGTTTGTTTCAAAGGAGGACGGTTACATTATTGGACAAGTCATCCTCGGGGACGGGTAAAATTTTGGGGGTTTTTTCGAGCCCTGACATCACCTATGGAACTATATAGTTGTTTATATTTCTTTCGAAGCGGCCATTTTATGATTAATCTTTGTTCTTCAATTATCACCTTTCTGTTTCGATCAATTTTGCAAGCGAGTCTTTCATAATTTTTATTGATTCCTTAACATTTTCAACTAGTTATAAAACAAATTGTTAATGTTTAACATTTCCTTGAGACTATAAAGTTCTGATGGGTATCATATTCATACAATCAATATTTTATAAATTCTATTGAGAATAGTGATGACTTATTTTATGCATGACTTACTTTCTCTATAAAATTAAAGTATTTTTTATGTGAGCTCATTATTTTAGTTATTTATTTTATTGCTTATTTTATTTTATTATTTATTTTTTATGGATATGTAAGGACAAGTTGAGGTCTATCTAGTAGCACTGATGTTTGTCTAAGTTCTAAACACCTAAAGATAGTAGATTGTTATTTGTGTTAATATATATTGTTAATGTTTTAAAATTGCTCTAATAAAAACCTTTCATTAAATTCACAAGAACAATTTGATGGAATTAAAATTGATGTTATAAGTTTTATTTGAAATACAGAGAAACAAGTTCAAGTTGACCACATGTGTGAGTAACAATTGTGGCCAACTTAGAAAGGAACAATAAAAAAAAAAATTTCTAATTCGACATTGGATTATCGATGAATAACTAATGCAGATTTCACTGTATAAATATTGGTAATTTAAAACAAAATGGCAGTCGAATAAACTTGAATGAACAGACAATCAAAAGATAGAATTTAAATTAAGTAACTAAGCAGTAACAACAATACAATTGTAGGCAATTTTCAAACAGAAACAATAAACTAGATAGATTTCGATACAAATTTTTGGTAGTGGTAAGCTTGTAACAACCTGTGTCCTCGAGAGTAAAGATGGCTACAATTTTCTAAGTACGCTAAGTGAGTGACAGTAATATAGAGAATAGTTTTTCTACATTCTACACTGAAAATTTAATTCATAATTTAAAAACTCGAATGTTACTTTCTTCTTTCTTTCTCGAAATCATACTTTTAGTTCATTTGTTTACTTGGTAAAGTTATTAAAAAATTATTTGCAAATCCTTAATATTTAGTCTAAGTATGCACAATGACTATATAATTTTCGCAGTTCTTTTAATTGTCTTTTACTTAACACATCCAACAAACAAAGTAGTTTTTCTAATAGTTTTTCCAAGACAAATTTACACTGAAAACAAATATTTAATGATAAAAATAGATTTCAAATTAATACGGATGTTGAAAATTAGAAGTCCCTCTTAATTGCCCAAATCTGTGCAACTACATTAATTAAAGAACTTGCAGCAAGTGATACTTTTTCTCAATAAAAATAAAATAGAAATCTGGACATAAATAACGCAATAGCCATTTGTTGTACCATTTTAAATATCTGATGGTGTTCTTAAAAGGTAAAAACACATTCTCTGAAATATTGAATGAAAAATTATTTGGTTGTTTCAACATTTATTTACAAATTCTTGATACTCTGTCGCATAAATAATTCAACTATGTAAAAAATTTTAGTTTTTTCTTTATTACTTCCCTTTTAGCAAAAGATTAAAAAGTAATACTACACATGACTTACATTAAGGTAAGAAGCTAATCCAGAAAGTTGCTGCCTTACACCAGAAATTTCAGATATTAATGGCAATTTAGTTTTTCCATCATATTCTAAGCACATATCTTCATTTTTGTCATAAAGTGGAAGCTAAAATACATAAAAAATCTGTGAAATTGATGAAAGGAAATAAAAATGTTGATACTAATAAAGTGTAATTAAAATTTGACATGGCAAGTGAAATTTATTTTTGGTAATTTACCATAAAATGAAAAATGCACTTCAAAGAAACATTTGTAACTGACTATAACAATACATTTTGACTAAGAAACAATACCTACCCCTTACTACAACGTTTTACTACACATCAAGATCTAAGCCACATAAGTTCTTTCTTTTTTGTACAATTCAAAAAATCAATACTAAGAATATTTTAATGTTGCAAACAAGCTAAAAATATTTTTCTGGCTTCTTATTTAATGATCATTTTTGAAAGGCGTGATATAATTTGAATTATTAAGGCTGAACAATTTACAGTAAAAAGACAAAACTTTACATCATCAATTTAATGTGAATAATTCAATATAAAAATTAATACAATGCAATGAGGAAAAAAACTAAATTCAATTACAATAGCAATTAAATGATGTAATATTTATTTACTTTTCTTCTGAAATTTTTTTAGCACATGTATTAATTACTAACAATTTAATCAGATATTTCAGAAGCCCTGCAAGACACTGAAAGTTAATTGTTGGCAAATAATAAAGAAAAAAAATAATTAAAAAACGGTTTATCCATCTATTTAATATCAATCTCACCGATTAAAATTTCGCTTCAGATCAAATCTCCAATGCTTAATTACTATTTTTTGCTATAAGACTATGAATCCACTAATTATTGTAATTTCTTTTTTAAAAAAACTTGATTTATGTGGTTTCTGTGTTTGATGAATGAAAAACTATCTAGACAGTTATAAACATAGTAAAATTACAATTCAGAAGAATAAGAAAGCTTTTATTTCTGAAAACAAAATTAAAGTAACGGATATAAGAATTAGGAAAAGTCATTTATTTATTATAGTTGTTTAAATTTTCATAATTCCGAACAGTAGGATGTCTCAGTTGACTAGTTAATTACAATTTAACAATAATTCTTCATCTTCTAGTGATTTTTCTTTGTGCTATATAGTTTATGTGCCACTGCCAGTAGCTTAATTCCAAAGCTTTTGGGATTATAGCATAGCATTCAAAATAAACTATAGATAAATACCCTAACTGATTTTATTTTGGATCCATTGAATCAATTGTTGGTTTCCATTTCCTTTTACTTTTACTATGAAACTCTGCCAAATGAGATTTACTTTATCCTTTAAAAATAATAAAATAATTAACTTCTTAATTCAACCTTTTAAAATTTTATGATATGGAAACTAAAAAAGTTCTTATTCTAAGCAAAAAAACAATGTTTTATGCAAAAGAAGATTTATGCATAAGTTCAAAAAATTCTGAAGCAACAAATCAAGTGGAATTGACAAAATTCCTCAATCAATCTGTAAAATTGCCTGACAGTCTCTCAACTCAACATATAAGTTTTTTTGCAGTCTTAAAACTATCAGTTAATTCTTTTTTTAAAAAAATCAACTGAAAAGACTGGCGCTTTAGTGTGATATTACATCATTTCCCATTATTTTATTACATTATCTATCAAAAAAAATTTTCAACACAGTATTAACTCAATACTGAATTTAGATTTAATTATTCATTGGGAAAAAATCTGTAGGAATTTCTAGGAGAAAAGAAAAATCAAGATTTTAAACAGAGAAAATAAGAAAATTGAAATCCCAGCAAATTTGTACCACTAAACATTTAAAAATTTTTTAAGAAAAACATTGACTATGTTTTTTTGATGATGTAGAATCTAAATGCACTGAAAGAAAAATATGTTTATTACGTACAAAAAAAAACTAATAAATTACCATATCATCTGGGTACCACCTACCTAAATTCGGAAAAATGCAACTGATTGCTCATTAGATTAACACATATTCAAAGTGATCATTATCTCTTACTCTGAAATTAATAATTGATCACTAAGATGTTCTTAACAAATTAAGTAATAAATATTTACAATTATTTTAAAAACTTATTAGATTAACACTAGAATGCAACTCATTCGTCTCTCGGGTAAAGCTCAAATAAATAATCTTCACTACCTTCCTCCCTAAAACAAGAAACAGAATGTGCGACTTATTACACTCTTGTGACCTTGCATACAGCAAATAGATCATTCCTCATTCGCAAAATATTTCTGCAGGTGGCATTTTTAGAACAAGATTCTCTCACAGACGAATTTTTAACTGTAACATTTGACTTAGAAAATCTAATTTAGTTTTGTTTTTGTGTTGCCATGTAGATGTTAAAGTATTTTTGCAAAGAAAATTTTTGAGGTACACTTCAGGCTATCAGTGAACTATTTAAAGAGCTAAGTAATAAAGAAAATTCCACTTCTGGGGATTAATCTGAAGAAGGTTTTATTGAAATTAAATGAATTCACAGGTAACGAAAAAGAATAAAATCACAATAGACTAAGAAAAAACAATGCATGAAAAAGAAACCCAGGAAGATGAAAATAGGATATTGAAAGATCGTGCTAAAAAGAAAATCGCAACGTATCACATAAAAGTGATTGGGTTGAAAGAATTTTTTTTTTTTTTAGTCGTGTGGCAAATGCTGGGCAAAATTCAGTTCACTGGCAAAGACAAGTCAAAGTGGTCCTCTGTTCTTAAATCAAACAACACAGGGACTGCAATTAGAAATATTATTCATTTTATTTGAGGATCAAAGGACACACAAAAAGATCTTTCAACTCCTCTAGACCCATTAAATTTTTTACTCCTGAAATGCTGGAAATAATTGATTTTCATTCCTAGATTCTAAAATTCATAAAGATTATTATTCTGAACTGTGTTGATGAAATTACAGCTTTATTGGGAATACTTGTTTTGTCAGCAGCTATGAAAAATAATCATTTAGCAACAAATGAGTGATTTGATACAACATTTTACGATCAGCAGTGCAAAGCTTTAATGCCAAAGAAACTAGAGTAGAAAGAAGAGGAAAAGATGTCTTCGCACTTAGCAGAGAGATTTAGGACATAGTTGTACATTTAAAATTCGAATTGTCAAGAACTATTCAACAAATTTCACTCAAACTTTGCATTTTGTCATGCAAATTTACCTTAAAATTATGTAAAAAATTTTACACCTCACAATTCAAAATTTTTTCGACTATTATTAAATAAAATAATAAAAAAAATAATAAATATTATCTACAATTTATTTTTTGCATGAAATTATCTTTGGATAAATGTATTTTATAATTATATACAAAAAATTAACAAGGCGCTTAAAAAATTCTCGAGATATGGCAAAATACACAATAAATAAAATTAATATAATGAGGTCCAAACTTTGGATCACTCTACTGATTAAAAAATGGGGACCATATTTCCAAGAATGTGGCTACCTCCTATATTTAGGAGGTCAGAATTCTGAATCCATTAAAAAAAAATTCCCCCTGAACTCTTGCAGTTAATGGAGGTCAGAAATCTGAATCCATCGAAGAAAATTCCCCCTGAACTTATGTAGTTAAGTTCTAAGAATTGAAATGTCAATGTATTGTTTTGATCAAGCCAAAACTTTTATGTCATATAAAACAAAAACAAATAAATGTGTTATTCTTCTGTCTACTTTCCATAAAGAACTAAACATGTTGAAAAAAGTAAGAAATTAAAAATGATAGTTTTGTAATTCTAATAAAGAGGCCATAGTGAGTAAAAATATGTCATTCAGTAGGAAAACACAACGATGGCCTCTGTGTGTTCTATGGTGTGATAAATCTCAGTTTAATGAATGCACATGTTATATAGGTGCATAATATGGCTTGAAAATAAAATAAAAAGCATTATTTAGAAAAAGTTCCCACTACAGTTAAGTGAAGATCTTGCTGTATGGATGAAGAAGTGACTCAATGTACCAATTTGCCTGGCTCAACAACAATTGTAAATGAACTTTTGAAATTAGATATGATCATTTGACCCTCTGAACAATCTGAAATTAGAAAAAGGAAAATTTGTGTGTTTTACCCTGCTTTCCGTAAAATTTTGTCCAACATGTTCCAGAGCAATTTGTGGCGAACATCATGCTAATATGAGTAAAAATTGCCTTGAAAATTAATTAATTATACTTTTTTTCTTGCTTAACAATGCATCAGCACACTAATGAAAAAAATTTTTTGAAGAAACCTGACACATTTTTTAACATAAAAACAACTTTTCTGATGTAAATGTTCTTCTGTATACAGAACTATCAAACATAAATAAGTAAAAAAGAAAAATGGTTTTGTAAATGCACAGAGCAAATAAAACTTGATATTATAATAAAATATTTGATATAAAAATACTTGCCTCGTGAGCTTTAGGAAGTCGTTTCATTCTACAATCATGACAGTCAATCATTTCTTTGGCCTGAAGACTATTAAAAGAATATAGTGCAACTGAGCTACTGATTCCAGCAAATAAACCAATTACCTAAAAATAAGAAAATAAAAGGAAATATTAAACATTCAAGAGAAAAGACTAAGCTTTGTTAGCACTTAACATATTTTAGTAAATTTTTATCACCATCAATAGTTGCAAGAAGGTAAACTAGCATCTGTGTTTCAGGTGCTCACAGTGATGAAAAAAATGTACATTGTGATAAGAGGAGCAAAGATATTGATGTTGCCTGGTACTTCCTAGACAATTATTGAAGAAAAAGCCCATTCCCTGTTTGTTTTCTTTAATCTATCTACACTGCCTGGATAAGCAGGAAATTTGGAAATCAACCAAAAAGCAATATGGATGTTCAGAACTGAAATTGATACTTGGAGACAAATTGTTTCTTTGAAAATGTTCTTTGTGGAACTAATATGACTTGGTAAATTGTTCTAAGTGTAAAAAATAATTAGCTGTGAAATTGAATTTTAGTTAAAAGATTTCATTCTGTGAATATTGATCCCCTAAAATATTGATGAATTTAATAAAATTAAAAAAAAATGTAAGCTTAGAAGCTATTTTGTAGGAAAACCATATTGGATACACATTTCTTAGGTGAGTAACTTCCATGAAGATAGATTTTAAAAGAATATTATTAGATCTTTTATATTATAAAAAGTTTTTTTCTTCTTCAATATTTATGAGTTTGTTTACATTAAAATTTGTTTAAATTTCTCAAATATGATTTAAATGTTGCTGAAAACTATCAAATTTGGTGCTTGCAAGAAGGAATTTAATAAATCCATCAAATAGTTGCAAGAAGGAATTTAATAAAAAAATAATGAATGTAAGCTTAGAAGCTATTTTGTAGGAAACTATATTGGACACACATTTCTCAGGTGAGTAACTTCCATGAAGATAGATTTTAAAAAAATATTATTAGATCTTTTCCATTATAAAAATTATTTTTTCTTCTTCAATATTTATGAATTTGCTTAGACATTAACATATGTTTACTTTTCTCAAATATGTTTTCAATGTTGTTGAAAACCATCAAATCTGGTGCTTGAATCAAAGAATTGATGTAATCATAAAGTGTATACATTTGAATCTGTTTATCTTGAACCTCTTTATTTCGAAAACCTCTATATCTCAAAATTTCTAAAATTCCCTACATTTATTGTCTAAAATCAATGTATTTTCCATGTTCTAATTTTTTCTTTTTTTAAACCACCGTTTCTCGAATTTCTAATAATAGAGCACAAATGACAAAACTTTCTTTACCAGTAGAACTTGCAGACAGAGATTAATTTCGTGAACCCACAGGAAGTAGAGATGAACAGGTTGGGGGTGTTTCTTGGAATTTTAATCACTATCCCTGTACTTCCTTAGCTAGAAAGGAATGCATTGATTCTGGCAATAAGTGAGGGGTTGATGAGTAGGTCGGAGTGACCACCAGAGGTTAGCTTTTCTACACAGATAAAAAAGCAATTCATTTTAAAAGAGAAATTCATTTTCACCTCAAAATTGCAACCAATGGATCAAAGGATAATTAGGAGTTTTAAAGTGAACTATAAAAAGCAGTTGGTATGCAAACTTGTAGATACCATTGATGAAAAATGTTCTCTTCCAAAAATAAATGTGTTGGATGCTATGAGAATGACTGTTTTGCCTGGAGAAATGTGTTGCTAAAAACTATCCAAAATGGTTTTAAAAAGGTTGGTTTTAAGAATAGCTGTGAAGATGATGAACCAGGGTTGGCAAGTTTTTGACACATGACAGTTTTTATCGGTTTATACCATGGTTTTTACCGTCATGTCAAAAACCCCTCAGTCAAAAACCCATAGTTTTGGTAAAACTATATTTTTATTTGAGTTTAACTGCTTATAATTTAAAATTAATTTATTTTTGGGCAATAAAATTAGAAAAAAGTTGTTAAAAGATATTTAAGAACAGATTCTTTCATTTTCCCAACATGATTATATCAAAACATACTATTTGAAGTAAAATATTAGGAAACTAAACAAAATTTTCAACATTTTCAAGCATCATTTTGTTTGGCATATTACATTACTGAAGAATGTCAAGTCATTCTTGACTTAAGAGTTTGTTAGTAGTTACAAGTTTTGAAAGTTTTGTTTAGCTTATTTCTAATATTTAAGAAATGCCAAATTTTAAATTCTTCCTTTTAGTTCCTGAATTTATTAATGGTTCCAAGCTTTTTTGTTTGCTTATTTCTAACAATTAGGAAGCGCAAAATTTTGAATCCTTTGCGTATCAAGCTATAATGATAGAAGTAAATATCGCTATTTTCAATAAGTATATTACAATATTTCTATATGAATGTATATCCTTCTATAAGAATACATGTATATAGTTGCAAAATCAATAGCAATCATTTACAACATTCATTTATAAAGGCAATTATGTGAAAATAATATATTGTCCGCTATATGCCATAAATTAAAGAAAACGGTGGGTTTTTGACTGTTTTTATCGGTAAAAACATTACACCAGATTAAATTTTTAATTAAATTTCATTTTTTTAAAGTACCTGTTTAACTCAAAACCTCTTTATCGCAAATATTTCGCTTTTCCCGTGAGATTCGAGATAAACAGGTTAGAGTGCATTTTCTAAAATTTATAAGCATGTTTATTCATATGCATAAGGGCTATAATACTTCTTTTTTTTTCATATCTGGAGAGAGAGAAAAAATTTTGATATTGAAAAAAAAATAGATGACAAGTAAAAAATTAATTCCACAAAAATAAAAATCCACTTTTACTTAATTCAAAAAATTAGCTGAACTTCAGTATACAAATATATACAATAGCTATTAAAAATTAACCATTTCCATGCTTATTTCAAACTTATTTACTGGAATGACATACTTAAAAAACTTGATATAACTATAATAAAGATACTAGGAATGTTTTGTTTTTAAATGATAACTATTCAACAAATTTTTGTTATTCATTCTGCCCAATATTTGGCTAACAAAGAAAAGGCAATATAAAAGCGAGGAAAAAGAAAGAGTAAAATTAATTAAAACCCAGCTTTTTGGCCATCCTCTTTTTTGACAAATAAAGTACTTTCATACAAACATTTTCTTCACTGGATCTTTTTCATCCATTCTGGCAATATGAGCAGCCCAGTTCATTTTTTTTAATTTTAATTCTCTTGATAACATCAGGCTCTATATATTTCTATAAATTTCAATCAATATAATCTATAAATTTCAATGAATATAATCTAAAAATTTCAGAGTTAAAACATCTTTTCAAGAGACCATTTTCTTTGACACCGCTAAGAATACTTCTGATAACTTTTCATTAACTGAACTACATTCTAACTATATAATGAAAAAAAATTTAAAACAAAAGCTACATTACCAAAAGTCTATACTACACATTTATTTATTAGAAATTATTATTTTACCTATAAATTAAGTGAAATTTGATTTTTATTTTATTAAGTAAAATGAATACTAATTGTAAGCTGTGAGGCAGGTCAAATAAATCTTGTACAGAAACCATTAATAGAATTTCTAAAGTACAAATTGTTACAGAAATAATAACTTAAATAAATTTAAAAAAAAGCTAAAAATTAAGTATATCTTAAATTTGTCACATAATAAAAATATATCAAATTTAATAAATAAAGACCTAAAATGTGATAAAATTCGTAAGTAAACTAATTACTTTGTAATATTAATTTAGAAAATAATTAGCATACTAAGAGATGGGTTAACAATTAAACCATACTAATATCTCGCAAAACATAGGGTGACCTGGGGTAATTCCTGATCAAAGAACGCAAACATCTATTTTGTGAAAAAACTATTCAAAATAGAATTTTAATATTTACTGGAAGTTTGACACTATATGAGATGCGTCCTATGAGAAACGAAAGTTAATTG